TGGCAATTTTTAGCCAAAAAAAAAAAGCATTTCTAAACCAGTCAAGACTGGAATGAAGAATCATGAGGTGAAAGGGCAGAGCAAAAGGAAAATATGCCTAATTAAGGATGAACACCCTATAGGTTCACTGTTAGCACAACTGAACGGACAACAACATGTATTTTGGTTGCTTATATCACAATCATGCAATTATGCTAATATAGGGTAATGTTTTTGCCCTTGAAAAAATTTGTTTCCTCTGCTAATTTAGGAAGAAGATCAATTACGAAGTCATACAGTTTGGTGTTGCTGTTGGTGATGTCGTGTTGCTGAGCAACAGAAAAAGGATTAATTCTGCTACACTTCCACTGTTCCAAAGTCTGCTCCCTCAGAGCAGCCCCTTGCCCTTTAAGCTATGTACACATGAAAAATAAAACACTATTTTTTCCCGAAGAATATTTTTAAAGAAATAACTGCAGAAGTGTTGATTTACCACTGAGAATGTAAACAGTTAGAGCCAGAGACACTCATCTATATCCTGTCCTCTGCTACATCAATGCAATTCCATTTTAGCCAAGGGCAGCCTGATGTTCATTATCCTCCAAGAACGTAGGGCTTGCTTGCCAAATATATGCTTTTGCAGTAGTTATTATGCTTCTAAATATTACTTCATAGTTTCCTGTTGCCCAGTCCCAGTATATTTTTTTAAAGAGTCACATTTTTTTTTCTAACTTTATCATTGGTTTGAAACTTCTCACTGCAATTTTACGATGAAGAATAAAAGAAGCAACAGGGTAATACAGTTACAGCAAATGTCTTTCACTACTTCAAATAATTTTTTTTTTCCTTCTCAATTACAGACTGGTCAAGTCAGTGGGTTTTATAAATTAGAAATCAAAAAGGCCATCATAGCTGGTTATTAAGTAACTCTGACTTTTTGCATTCTTGTTTTAAATAGGGATTTTATTATCTGCTCCTGCACATCCGTTTCCCTTTATCTTTGCCCAAGAGGACTTGTCTGGCAGTCTCCAATTTTAATTTCACCCCCGAGCAGACACTGTTTTGCACATGTTGTTGTGCAGCATACACAACTCTGTTCCCAGCTGTGAGACTTTCCAACTACTCCAGAGTACAGCCTGGTATAAAACCTGCAGTCCTGGCCACGTCCAGAGCTTCACTGTGCTTGGTGCCATACAAACAGTGAGGGAAGACCATAAACTTATAACCCAAGCAACTAGAGCAGACAAGTGCCAGAGAGGTCAAAGTGTGAAATGACAGGTAAGGAGTAAGGGAGAAAGGAAGGCATTCAACACTTGTGCCAGGCTGCATTGCCTGTCTAAAAAAGTCACACAGAAGATTCTCATCACTACTTTTCTGATGTCAAAAGGAAAAATATTCACAAAATGATACCACTCAAAGCCTGACCCATTCCTCAAGGGGCTGTGTTTGTTAACAAAACCACCCCTAAGAGCTAGGATTGCTTACCTCCTCCTCGTGCATAGCCCTGGGAAAGAATATATGCTATTGTTTGGCCTGTTAATGACATTGAGATAATCTAAGTACCTGGAATTATAAATGCTCCCATTTCATGCAGCAAATTCTACCTTCTTATTTCATTTAACAGAGGTAAAAACCTGGCTGTAACAGGGCAGAGAACACTGATGCTCACACCAGCAGAAAGCCATTCTCCCCAGCTGATGCTTCTCAGTGATGAGTTATCAAAATGTTCCCACCTGGTTCCCATTATTGTGCGTGTATTAGTTTGGCTCCTTGGGCCCACTTTAAAATAACCTTTACTCTTTATCTGTTTCCAATTCTTTCTCTAGGAGTTGTCCTTCTCTAAATTTTGTAGCACTTTTATGACTAAAGTAGCAAGGAAATAAGTATATGAAGAGGAGCCTATCTTCATCCTTTCATCCAAATTGCATCAAGAAGCTAGTCTGTGGAAAGAGCTAATGCTCCAGTCACTGTAAGAACATATTACAAACTGGAATTCTATTAGATAATCTCTAGATGCAGATTTATCATGTAATGATACAGATGGAGAAATAGAATCTTTTTATACGATTGCTCTTTTCTGTTGCTGTAGCCTCTTACAATGATCTCTTTAGTATTTAGATTCCTGTTGCATTCAACAGACAAGGCTTGGAATGAATGTTACTCGACAGGATGGCCTCCAATGAGGAAGGCAGGAAGGTGGCAATGAGGAAAAAAAGGATGCTACAAATAGGTACAAAGGGACTGCAAGCTACGGGATCTCTTTGCACTCTTTGTTAACATGATGTTGGCAAGTTGTTTTCATGCAGCTCATCGGCTAATGCAATGTCTATGGTATAGTCCCCCAGCAGTACAGCAGCAAGCAAACTGAAACAACAGTATGCAAAGAATCAAGCAGCTCATGGGCTAATGCAATCTGTCTATGGTATAGTCCCCCAGCAGTACAGCAGCAAGCAAACTGAAACAACAGTATGCAAAGAATCAACAACCCCTTCCTGAAATTACAATAAACAACTAATTAACAACTCCTTGCTAGGGCTTCCTTGAATCTGCGGCTTCGGTATCATTTGAATTCCTGCCCTACAAATGAAGCACCAGTCTGCTTCCATCACCGATAGAATGGGAATTAGGAAATAGCTGCTGCAGCACAGCTATACTTACTTAGTCATGTACTTACTTGTTTGTGCCGCTTATGCACTGTTCAGTCCCAAAAGCCCTAAAAGAGAAATACAGTTACCTGTGACAGAAGAACCAAACCTGTAAGTACTTGTCCCAACATATATCACAAGCTGCATCTGATGGAAAGGGCTGTCTGTCGGGGATCCTTGGAAACACATTTTAAGCTTGAGGCCTCAACTATATCTCAACAGAAAGGTAAAACTTCAGCGAGTTCTGCACTCCACTTCTTATGCCATCCTCCTCCTCTCAGAGCTTGATTTGGAGAAGCATGAGGCAGCAAATTTTTTCTGTACCATTTTTTTCTGTAAACTCAGTCAAGAAAGGTAACTCCTGGGTGGTCAGCTGTAGCTCTGCGTATTTGCACGAGAGCTCAACAGCCAGGCAGCAGCTCTGACACACTCCCTGTGCTCTCTGCAGCAGGCTAGGAGAAAAATCCCTTTTTGTTTGGTTGGTTTTGGAGGTACCAGAGGTTCCATATCATCCACACATCTTTGCTGTGCTGTTTTTTGAGATTTCCTCCTCAACAGCCCATCAAAACAGACACAGCACAGCAGACAAGAAATGGGCTGCTACCATTAAAGTGGCTGGTCCCACCTCTCTGTAGAATTATCAGCCACGACCCTTTTTGCTACTCATGAAATTGGGAGCCAAAGACATATGACAAAATGGGCTGCTGGAATTGTCATTATGTTTTTATTTCTTTTCTCATTCATTCATTTTCTAAACAGGCAGTGTTATGTCAAAAAATCAGAAACAAAGTCATGATCAAAACCACACATACAGAATAACTTAAATAAACATTTTTCCTTTTGAAGATGATTGAAGTACAGAATAAATAATACATATTATAGCATTCTGGACATTGTCCATAAACAGTTCATATCTAATAGTTTCTCTATCAGGTATTCAGATAATCAATTTATATCAGCTAAGCTACTCTGGCACTGACTGGGTCTTTAGAGGAACAAGTTGGCTGGAAAAAAATGAGATTTCACTGAGGAATAAACCTATAGAAATTGGGTTTCTTAATGTTTATGCATCCTTAATCCTCTGTTCCTTAGGAAATGCTTTCTCTCCCTTCTCTCTTGGACTTAACCTACAGTAAATTGGTTTTACCCGAGCAGAGCTGGAAGCTGTTGGTGCCACTTAGTTTAGCTAAGGGACTAAGCAGCACTGGAAAATGTTAGAGACCAACCACAAACCCAACATTAGCCTACTGAGGCTAAGCTCCTGTGAAAGCCTCCTCAGAGTTGCTCTTCCTCCTATAGAGAAATGTATTCACTCCGCTCACCCCAGAGGTAGCCCAGCATAAGCTTCAATCGTCTCTATCTAGCACCTGTGAACATCCACACACTGCTTGCACAAGGAGAGACTTTTGCGATCGTGAAGAAACTACTCTAGGTCAACAACACAGTGGCTGTGGTGTCAACCATGCGCAGACACATGGTTCCTATAGAGCCCGGTTTAGCCCAGTGGTTACTGTTCAGGTTGACTTGGCACCTAGAGAGCCCACCGTGCAGCACTGCATGGACCTGAAGAGAAAAAGGTATCTTTGACTTAAGAGGTAGCCTAGGATAGGCTCACAGCCTAGGATAATGTAACAGTAGTAGTAGTCCTTCCCTGCAACAGAAAAAGACTGCAGTAAAGTGCAGCTGTTTCTTCTCTTCATGCCACCTCCCAGCATAGCCCCAATGTCATAAAAGAATATAGCCATAACTCATAATATTTAACAATAACTAGATGGGCAAAGAAAGCAAATTTTAGTTCACTGCATTAGACATTAGCTTTTTGTTTAAGAAACTGAGCTGAAAAACCAGTTTCCTTCTGGCCTTTCTCATTAATACCACTTGTCTGCAAAAACACTAGAAAACACTTCAGTAATGTACACTCCACCTAAAATAACTGAGCAGCTTTGATGATGATCAGCTCCATCCTAACCTGAACCTACCCAGTCAACCTTTGTATCTGTTTTTCTGAGAATGTCTTCTCTTTCTCTTTTCAATGAAATATTGCCAACGCTAACTACTTCACTTCACATCTTATTTAGTGTCTACCCTAAAACCTCAGTTCCTGTAGGCAGGTAGTTAAAAGAAAATCTTAGTTTCTCTTTGCAGAGTTTCTAGGTCTCATACTTGCAGCAAAAGGCTTGAAAACATGAATCATATCAGCTTAAAGAAGGCAAAAAAAAAAAACCTCAAAGGCACTTTTTTAACAAAATTCTCACAACTTTTATGACAAGCTTATAATCTGAAGAGGAGAGGTAGGCATCTGGCTCATGATCTCTAAGTCTTCGGGGTTCAAATGTTAAGGATTCCTCTTCACCTTCCTTTGCCTCTTCCAGTTTTCTACTCTTGTATTTTGCACGAGGAATGAAGATGCCCAAATTTCTGGTAGAAGTCATCTTCAGCACGAATCAGAGCTTCCTCGTCTATGTAGACAGCTGGTCTCCGGGAAGCCAAAAAGTACTGCACCTTCCGCAGGCTCCAGCCCATCACGTACTTCAGCCAGCCGCAGACAGCAGCTGTAGACCTGCCAACGCCAGCGTTGCAATGAACGTAGACAGTGTGTCCATTCTCCAGTAGCCCGTGCAAGAGGCAGACAGCTTGTGGCAACATCTGTATTCTTCCTAAGGTTAAAATCAAGACATATTAATTTGCATTTGAGAAAGCTATGTTCATGGTTGAGATAATGTCCGTACAGCCTGATGAACTGTGGATCCTAACTGTAAACCTGACATATTTTGTGTTTTTTCTTCTTTTTTTTTTTTACAGATGACCTTCTACCCTAACTTTGTTTTTTCTTGCAACATGGATTCAGATCACACAAAATCTGTAAAATGCCCCAATCTTCTCTAAATATATATTCTGACTAACATTAGATGTGTGTTGCACATAAGTTTCACAGGGACTGAGACAAGGCAGCAAATCACATCAAACAGCACATCTTACATGGCATTAAAATCAGCTAGCCAAAAATGAATGTTTGTTAGTACCAGAGGTTTGTGAAGCTACCTATGTACTGCTGCTTTCCAAAACATCGTAGTGATGGCCATTATGTCAATAATAAGTGAGGGAGGGAGAGAAGAGTATTTTCCTGTACAACTTAATACTGTTACAATTTAACTGTGTACTAAGCATATGGTTAAACAACAAAATAGCCTTCCTCACTCACAGAGGGATGAATATACCGTATTTCATGACACCTTTCTCCCTGTTACCCCAGGAACTGAAGCTGCAGACATCAGAGCCTAACTCTTCCTCATGGAACAGATGAGCACTGACATCAAGCCCTTTCAAATTCCTTGTTTTAAGGTCACCTGTCTTCCCTGATGTCCTATTACTGATATGACAGTTCTCTATTTGTGGCAGCAGTATTTCACTCTATTGAAAGCACTCTATTCTGGTGGCAGGCTACTCATCTGAAAACACACACACTTTCTAACCTACTGGTTGGAAACAAGAGTTTGAACTGAGAATTCCCACGGAGGAATTAAAAATAATACCAATTTATGTTACAACATCAGGTGCTATGGGTATTCTAAATTAATTCCAAATAATTATATAAATGACTCCATGGAGATGCATCAGACTGGGATACTATAGTCAAAGAAAAACTATTTGCTGGGGGAAGGGAATAGCAGACACAGACAGACAGCACTGTCTATTTTTAACCACCAAAGATGGCAAGCTGTCCTGCTGTGCAAGCTTTCAGTCTTCCACCTACACAGCATATTTTCATTATGCAGGCTGAATTCAAGCTGAAAGCAAAAACAGTCAAGCAGTTATCAGCGTCAGAAGGCTTTAAACTCAAATACACATATACTGCCAGACACAAAGTACTTTAGATGGTCTCTCTGCCTACAAGAAAATAATTTGTTAAGAGACAGCACACAGAGAAATTATACCTTGTGTGTTAGCTATATTTTTATGCAAAATTTATATGGAAAAAACCCCCAGTCATTAAAGTGGCAGATTAGTAACTCAAAGGGTTTGTTACTATTAATTTACTGCAAGAGTGGCCTGAGTGTTACCTTCAGTGCTCATGTCTGGTGTTGGCATCCAGACGTAGGCAAGACCTTCCTCTTTATACAGTTTCATGAGGATTTCAGGGCTCATGGGTTCCGGGTAGCGGTTGCAGCCCCAGGAATTCTGGACAATGTCCCATTCGGTCTGGAAGTTCATCACAGCCGTAACACCCAGCTCGTGCTTCAGCTTGACGGTCACGTGCTCCAGCTGCCGAGGGCAACTTCCCAGCCAGATGTTTGGCAGAATTCTAGGATCGAGAAAACATTGCAGTGGGGTTGATTAAAAGATCTTTACAAGGAAACTGCCAAGTTCAGTGGCGTTCCAGCTCCAAACCTGCTCAGCATCATCACACAAACACTGCTAAGCGCAGCCTTTTCACATCATGCAGTACACAGCTTCTTGTTTCATGACACTTGAGTTGGTAATGTTTGATGCTGGCGATTGAATTCCTAACCTACCACAAAGAGCCAGATGGTCCGAGAAAAAATTCAGAGCATAATTAGTAGCACAGGTCTCCAAGGCATCCATCACTAAGCCTGCAGTAGAAGCTTACTAACATCACAGGTCGGAATAAGAAAACTCTGAAGATTCATGCAATTTGCACCAAAAAGAAAAAAAAAATGAGACCTAAAAGATTCACACAATCCAGATCTGAATTACTTTAGTAATAAGTCAAACAAATAGAACTCGTCCAGCTTTGTAGCTACCACTGTAACGAGGAAAGTAGACAGAAAAAAAAAACAAACCAACTTAAACTACCCTTCTGTGAGGAAACTCAAAAATGAATGAGTAATTTTCTTCTCATTTTTCTCTGCTCTTGTGGAGTCTAGTGGGAACCAAATGCAGAATTACAATACATGTCTAGCTTCCCTCGAGGTCTGAAGAACCAGAAATTCTTCAAGAAAACTCAAGACATATGTGTAGGAGGGATAAACATCCATATTTCTGGTACTTACCTAAATCAAACTTCAAGACTTCTACGGTTTTCCCATTGCTAATTATCATAATACTATTGTATACCTCAACAGGTTTTGACATAAATAGAAGCCGAATATTAAGAGGCTTGTTTTCAAATGAGGATGTTTAATCTGCACATGCAATTAAACTGATGGCATCTACAATGGATTATTTATAGGCACAAATTATGAGTGATCTACTTTAATTTTTTTGTTTGTTTGTTTGCATAGACTTCTATTTTGAACATGCAATCCACAAACTACACAAAATATCCCTGCAGTGGAACATACAACTTTGCAAACATTATTTACTGAAAAAAAATGAAGCCAATCTACAAAGAAAGCAAGATCATCAAAAATAAAATATCTGCCATGCATTTCTTATGGTCTATTCGAATTTTAATCTCAGAGAAAATAAGAAAAGTTTTAGGTTTATTGACGAGCAGTTACTCCTATAAACAGCCCTTAAATCATCAGGTAGCTATTTCCATTCCACTGTCACACTAAATAAGGGCTTACTGGCATTTAATTAAGACCTGTAACTGACAATGTTTAAATCCTGATATGATACTACTGAAAGATTTCCAAAAAGAAAAAATCAAATCCAGGATGTATTTTTTATTATTGTTCCCTGTATTTCAGCTGCATCCACAATGAGTCACATAGCAGCCACAAAAACACAGACTTTGGCCTTAACAGCCCCTGTTTCAGAGAGATAACACACTTCATCTCAGTATATGGTAACTGAGTCCAATTGAAACAAATACATTATATAGCAATTAACCATTTCAACTCTGTTTCAACAGTGAGACCGTTTGAAGAGATTTGACTTAGCTGCTGTTTCACACCCATGCTCTAGTCTAGACTGTGGTAAGAGTATTCCCCACTGCCAACAGAAAACACATTTGTTCCTAAGCAGCAAACAAGCTTTAACGCAAAATTTCAAAAATTAAGATTTACACCTTGAAATAATTTCCTTTGTCTCTTTTCTCACACATCTGGACACTACCTTTATAAAGGAGAGAAGAGAGGGAAAGAAAGAAGTTCTAATACATAGGCTCTGGATTTCTTAAGCTACAAATTAAATTCAGTTCATATATTAAGAAATATCAATACTCAGTCAACAGAGGACTCCACAGCAACCTGAACAAAATGCTTCCTGGTACAGGAAGGGAGCTTCTCAAAATTGCCCAAAATGCAGCATAATCAGCTCGAGCCTTCCCAATGACCAGAGGGGCTGACGAAGGTCCACTACAACAACTGCTTCTCTGCCCCACTTCCCGCACGCCAGCCCCACAGCAAACCCCATCCTCACCTGAAAGAGTGACCGCTGTCAGGCTTCTGCCACAGCAATCTGCCGCAATGATTAGAACATCGCAAGGCGGCAAATGTAAGTTAAGGTGCCCTAACAGACACTGATGAATGGCTGGAGATGAGCAATGCCCACAAAACTCCACAGGCGGGAAAGAAAAATGGCAATATCACTAATACCTGGTGACAATATGAGGACATTCTTTCAAGAACAAGAACTAGTATCCTTCCTTCAAAGACTTTCCTGGAGACTCATACACATATAATTCTGTTGATATTTTGGGAAGCATCTAATACAAAAAGTTACCTTGTCAGGAGAGCAAAAGTGTGTTTTCTAGCATTCGATTGAAACAGAAGTGACTGAAGCATTCCTGAGATAAATAAAATTCTGGGTAGCACTCTTGCCTACAGATAAATCAATGCTTTATAATTTTTTCCCCAATGATTATTTAGTGGGCAAACATCATAGCTGCACTATCTGCAAGACCACTGGGATACACACCACTGGTTTATCTTCTTCTTGTAGCCTAAAAGGTCTTACCCATGACAAGACCTCCTGTACTGCACAGTAATAATTGCACTTACTGAACAATCTGATGCATTTCACAAATATTTATCACTATCTTTCCCTGTAATTAACCAAGCTAGTGGTAACATTCAGAGAATGACCAAAACAACATATTTAGGACAGCCAGTTCTTGTGAATTATGTTTCTGGTTGGGTCCTAGAGTTTTACCTTTGAGAGGATCAAGGTGCAGCCTTGACATTGGTCTTCAAGCCTCTTAGACTGTAAAGTCTTGGTCTTGCTGGACACAGCTTACCCACTCTTTTACCAGGAAAAGAGCCTATGCAGAAACCAGTACTGCAGAGCTGTCCTATTGGCCAATTTGTGTAAAAGCTCTGGGATAACCCTACTGCGCAGTACCTATATTTCCATTTGGTTTTATCTCATTCACACCTTGACTTTGTCTTACGTTAGAAGGAAAGAACAGAAGGGTCAGTGCAGATGTGAGTACAGAACTGACAGAGTTTAGCAGCTGTATTTTATAAATGGATTTTTAATAGCCCTACTGAGGTCTTAAATACCCTGAGGACCAGGGAAACGTATATATTAAACAATACAAGAATGTGGTAATTTCATTTTCACATCTCTTTCCTTAATAATATGACTTCTAGTTTTCCTTTTCCTGTGTGGCCTTTCTCATTGAAGTTGCCACGGTACTTCAGTAGCTAGCTAGGTTTTAGCCACATGGGAAAGAGACCTCTTTTACTTTCCCCTCTCAACGGCCATGTAATAGTGCTCTGAGCTCTCCGACAGCTGCTGCCTTCCAGCCCACATGTGGTTGTTTTCCAGCAGCAAATGAAGCGATCATCCAACGTACAGTTCAAAAAACATTTAGGGATTATGTGTGATCAATAAACCTATAAACTTTTCAGCCGTTAACGTCTGTCATTTTCCCCAAATATCACAACAGGATGGTGTTTTAACAAAATTTGACTCAGAATTCTGTTTTAATATAAAGATGGCACTTTGTCATTTGTACACGCTAACTCCCTGTGTTACTGAGGATAGTCAGCTATGCTTGCTCCCAGAAGACATGGTCAATTCAGTCAGTTTAGCAATGAAGATATCCCCCACAGTAACGTCAAAAATACTCAGTTGACTTCTGAGATTAAGGCTTGTAGATTGTCTAAAAGCCCTTTATTTAAAGCTACTTTCTGTAAAGTTCCTTTCAGCCTGTCCTACACTTCAGTTCTCCATCAGTAATGTGGAAATAATATTTACGTACCTTATGGGGACTTTTGGGGATTAAATGAATGAATGAACGTGAGAAGCTTGAATTTGTGGTAACCAAGACTAAATGTTAGGCAGGTGTCTGCTCAGTTTACTTGATTTACAGAGCCCAGACTGAAGGCTGACATGTTAAAAACCTGCCTTTTGACTTGTAAATTGAGAAAACCAATAACAATTTATCATTACCAGGGAATAAATATGGAACACCCTGAAACCACTTGTACGGTTATTTTCCAGCTGTCATCACACTTAAATTATTTTTAATGATGCAGATATATATATCGCACTTGGTTGCTTCCCCCCAGGACCCTGCACAGCCTAGATTAAATTATAACAATTCACTACGAGTGCATCTGAAACAACAAATGCATTCCATTTAATCAATGCATATGCAAACAGTCTTCCCATCCTGAAGGAGCAAACGAGTATGAGACAAATGAAAGATTAGCATTCTGATACTTGTTTTTTTAACGGTGCAGATTGTAATTTTCAGGCTAGAGGAAATGGTCCCAAAGCATGACACAGCGTACCTTTCAGTCTTAGACCTCCACGGATAGTACAAAACCAGCCCAGCAGCTGCAGCTGTAGGGCTCTGATTCACAGGGAGGGTGACCTGCCTTAGGGGAAGATACCAGGTTAACCTGCATCGGGCAGTCAGCTCCTCCTCCACAGCACAGATGTCTTCACTGCTCCTTAAGCAGCTCCTGTGTTACTTTTGTTGATAACGGTTTAAGGCAAATGGGCACCAAATTCAAGTTTCCTTTAAAACGCTGAGCTGTAAGCTGGGATGACTCTGGTACCCTTTCCAGATCTGTTCAACCATCAGGGTACTAAGAGCAAGCATCTTACAATCTCTCCTAAAATCAGTCACAGTTCTTACAGAAAAGGGTAGGATTCAAGCCTTTGGGGAACACATTTCGGCAGGACCTCTATCAGGTACAACATTTCAGATGTCCTCTTATATTTGCCAGCTTTAATCAAGAAAGAGGACTTTGCCAAACTAAGGAAAAATTAAGAAGGTATTTTTAATTGGTTATTGGCAACAGAGTGCTCCATCAACCATGTCACTTGTTTATATCAGTAACATTTTTGACCAAGGTCCAGTGTATGATATTAAACGGAAAGTCACGGATCGATTCATCCTTCAGTGCCAGGTCAAGACGTAGCCTGATGTTAAAGCTGGCA